TGCGTCGGGCGTTTTTAATGCGTGTTACCCGGCGGAACCGCAATCCGCTTTTGCGGCGGATGCCACTGCCGTCCGCAGTCCGGTTGGCGGTTTCCGGTAACGCGCTTTGGCGCAAACCAGCAGGCACGCCTGATTTCGAAATTGCAAAACATTTTCACACTCTTGTGGTTCCAACACCGCCTTCCCTCCCCCCCCTCTCCCCCGTCCACTTCGCTGCTTTCCACTCTCCTCGCCTCACCCTCGCCCTCCATCCCGCTCTTCTACCTCCCCGCGGGCTCGTTGCCCGCACGATGCCACCTTCCGCTCCCTTTGCGTTTCCCATTTTTGCCCCCTTGTCCCCTCCAGTCGGTTCTCCACACGAGCGTGCACCGCCGCTTAAAATCACGCGTTTTGTCGAAACGCCTCTCGCGCGCGCGAGCCCCGAAAACACGCCGTTTACAGCGCAAAAGTACCGGGGCCGATGTAACAAAAACAAAACGAATGACACCCTCCGTCGTGTCGCGTTCGCACACAGCTTAAGAATTTTCACGTCTTTTAATCGCCCTCTTTCTTCCAATTTTTCTCTCGTCAGAATTGACAAATGATGGTTTTGCGTTCGATCATCGAACACGTCAAAGAGTTCCATTTGCGCGGATATATAGGGGTCTTTATTCCGAGCAAAAACTCGAGCGCGTCTGTAATGAGAGAGGGCTCAACACAGAGCGCGTTTCCGGCGGCTCATTTTAAACATATTAAAGAGTTTGACGATGAAAATCGTCGCTAGTGAGCCTCTATCCGGTAGTTACTCCGGCGCTGCTCATCGATGCGCCGGAATCGCGCGTTTAATTGTGAAGCGTTTAACCGGCCCGCGGGCGACAAGGCGGAGAGGCAAGCAATGTCGGAGTCGGAGTGTGCAGTCATTAAATTATTCCGGAATGTGAGCCCGATGGGTGTCCCCGATCGGGTCTAACTCTGAAACGGAAGAATCGGCAGGAACATCTGACACGATCTGTTCTCTCTCGCACGTGTTCGGCCTTGTTTTCGCCTTGGCGACACCTTTCATGTATATATATATATATATATATATATATATTCCTGGCGACCGTATTTCAGCTAACAAGCTTGCTCGAAAGTAGTTCAGGACGGAAGATGAAAAAGGAGCGAGGGACGTTGTTCTTTATATTTAAATACACTGATCGTGTTGAGGGCAAAAACGAAAACCAAGTTCCCACGTGTGTGTTGGAATAAATGACGTTTAAAACCATGCACATACTTTAAACTTTTTTCGCGGACAAATCTCGAAAATGACCTATTAGTGGACCTATTAGTAGATTGGATCTTTAATTTCGAGTATTTCTGCGAAGAATCACTATTTTTTTGAAATTTTGGGTTTTGGAATGTTTCATTTTTGTCCGGTTTAAAACTATTTATTTAACAAAGCGAATCTCTGCGAAGAAGGGCTTTTCGTTTACTTTTGTCTCCTTCGACGTCGCAATTCAGAGGAGATCCGACGTGTTTAGGTGTTGTCTTCGACTTCCAACTAATGATCTTGCGCGGTCCGCGAATATTCCGAGCGAACACATCGACGTCCGATTAATCGGTGCGCACGGTATCTCGTGGCGGCACGTGCAGAATCTCGAGGCACCCCCCGCGGGAGGAGTCCGGGCCTCTCCCGGCCCCGGAATACGACGCGAATCAGTGACTTCGAAAAACGATCCTTCAATGCGCAACAAACGTATGTAAGCGCAACGCGCGAGCGTGTCGGCAAACAAAATCGGTCGGTGGAACGTCATCGGCGAGTTGCAGCAGTTCACATTATGGTTTCTCTATCTCTCTCTTTCTCTCTTTTCATGCTGACGCATACGCGCGCGCGCGCGCGCGCACACACACACATACACACATGCATATGCATTGGAACCCGCGGGGGCTGAACGAAATGCAAAAACGTCAGCGGCAAGATCCTCGAATGATTTTTCGAACGCGCAACGAGCCCGCGAGCACGAAGCGCTTCCGCTTCGCCGTCCGTTCCGTTACCGGCGGCAACAGCGAATCGAACGATTTCCCGATAAATAACGTCGCATTTTTCGGCCGGCAAAAAGGCTTTTGCGCCGCCAGCGATGCGGAAAAAGCGCGTCAGACACGTTAGATCTGTCCAATTGTGCGGCGCCTCCTCCTCTGCGCGCAGCCGTGTATCTCCTCTTTTGCCGCTGGAAATCGCAGTCGTTAGTGGTACACGCGTACTATATATCGGCATTTCCATGGAAAATCATTGGCGGCTAATTGCCAATACAAGAGAGGAATCCCTTTCCTCTCCCCCTCGTTACCTTCCGGCAACGTTCCGCGCCGCCAATGAAAATTATAATCGGGCAATTATAATTAGCGAAATAAACGCGATAATCGTCCAATGCGATTTCCATAGTTCGTTCCCGCGCGCGGCGGCTACAAAGTATCATATTGTAATATTTCGAACTTGATTAATTTTATCATCGGGAAATATTGCATCGCCACGTTTCACGTTACAACGGTCGCCCATTGTCTTCAATATTCAACATTTAATTACAAAACGTTCGGAAATCGCGAAAAATGACAAATATCACAGTGACAAAACGGGTTCTCAATTTGCTCTCTTGATTTTGCGATCGTGTATACGTAAATCTTTCCGTCCGCTTTTATCGTACATATCCGTTTTATTGCCGCGGCTAATTACCGGGGCAGTTGCCCTTTGACTCAATTAGTGCGCGACGAGTGCGCGCGCGCCCATGTCGTGGCCACGTGCGCGGCGGTGTCGCGTTTCCAAATTTGTTCTACGGGAAACTTGGCCTCGAAGACCGGGGAGCTCTCTTCCTCTCTCTCTCTTTCTCCGCGGAGAAAGAGCGAGAGAAAAAATAAAGAAGAACTCGGGGTGAGTTCCAGGGGAGGGAGAGACAGAAGAGGTGATTCGTACCATTTGGCTCGGCTACGACGTCGGTTAACGCAGCGGGGTTACCGCGGACGCCTCGACGGACACATTGAGAGCGCCCGCTCGACTTGATAATCGCTTGCCATTCATACACTTTTCATTGGATTGCGATTGAGCATTAAGGAACCCAAGAGAGAGACAGAGAAACGACTACGCCTGTTCTCTCGCGTCGCGTATTAGCATTAGGAGGCATCATCTCGAGTGTAAACACTGCATGGGCACCGGCGGATTTAGTCACAGTCGAGAACCGCAGGACGTCCCCGATATTATCGTCCTTTTTTTATTTTTTTTATTTTTTTTTTTTTTTACGTTTCCACCTTTGCCAGCCGCCCCTCCGCCGCACCCCAACCGATACCCACTTGGCGCGATCTATTTAACCTCTTCGGAGAAAGGAAGTTCTTTTGTAAACGCCGAACGGTTTCGCTCTGGTCTAACCTCCTCGCTGAGATTTCAATCATACGAGAAAACAAAACGCGATATTTAACAGAAAAATCTCTTGTCTGTTTTTCACAAGCGTATTGTAGAGAGAACACTTGTGTTTAGCAAGAAAGATCCCGTCCCACAACGTACCGTTCCCACAACGAAAAGATCGAAGACGCTATCTCTCTTGAGGGAGGATCTGACGGAACTCTGCTGACACAAGAAGTTTCCGTCGTTCCTCGCAGAGAGGGGCGAGGAAAAGAAAAGCGGGTTTGGCCTTAACCGCGAGATTCACGGTTAAAGCCTACGAACGAACGAACGGACGGACGTTTCTCGTTCGTGATCCCCTTTATCCAATCTGTGCGGATCCGCGGGGCGTTAAATCCCTTGGGGGGAAAAGCGCGTCCGTAACTGAGACCCGCGTTCGCGCGCTAAGTCGGTCAGTCCGGTCCAGCCGAGCGAGAGGATCACACAATACTGCCACCGGCCGGGCGCGCACATCCATCTCTCGCGTTATACTCCTCCTGCACGCGCATTTTCTCCCCGTGAAAATTAGTTGCGCGAGAAATCCATGCTAATGTCGGCTAATCGGCCGGTAATCAGCCGTGAGAACCGACGACTGTCACCGACAACGACGCGAGAGAGAGATTCCGCCGTGCGCGCGAAGATCCGTCGTCACGCAACAAGGGAGAAGGTAAATCTTTCCTTGAAAGCGCGCTGATTCCGATCCTCATTGACGCGCGATCAAGCGAATTCGCAGCGAAAAGCGATCGTGTTTTTTGCGGAATAAATATCCACGCTCGCTCGCTCGTTCGCTCGCTCGCTCGCTCATATATTGACAGATTAAAAAAAATGTAAGTAGATTCCCGAAGCGCGCAATTCTTTCAAACCACGTCGACGCGATCGCAACGGCGCGACGTTTTAAAGAATTAACGAAATCCAATCCTTGAGTGTTTCGAATATACGTGTAGCTGCTGTTTTTTTTTTTTTTTTTTAACTTACATTGTGCGAATCGAACACTCGCCTTTCTTAACCTATTTGTTAAACATGGTTAGAATGTTTTGTATAATTATATAAATGTTTGATAAATGCGTGTAAAAGTTTTTTTTATACTCATTTCGTAATCACAAATTTACAAGTGTTTAGTTTTGAAAAGTTTATTAGTAAATTAACTCTTCGCGGACAGACATGAGTCTCCCAGACCCGGTCTGTTCAACTGGTAGATCGTTTTTGTAGTCTGTTACGCGAAGAGTTAAGAATATTTGACATTTGATCCCACAAAAAAGAATAATTTAAAAAATATCACATGTTATTTTTCAATAATTTAGGAATGAAAAGCGAAATGACGAACAACCGAGCACGTCCGCTCGCGATGAAGCCTACGATCCTCACGCGCATCGCGTCCCTGAAAATCTGGTGTCGTACGCATTCCTCTCATTTAATTCTGATCCAAAAGCGCAATATTAAATTTTTTCAATGTAATCTTGTTTTTTTTTTCAATCGATCATTTCGTTCCTACCGTTTTATTTATTTGTTTGCGCGTGCAACAGAAGTTGCGCGGATTTGATCGTTAGATTTTCTCCGTCTAGAGACTTCGGCTCTCTGGCGAATCTGGTGAAAAGCGCGGCCGGAACCGGTCTGTTCGCCATGCCGAACGCGTTCGCTTCCGTCGGGCTCGTCATCGGAATTGTTGGCACCGCGCTTATGGGACTGCTGATAACCGGGTCTCTTCACTTGCTCCTCAAAATCCATTATCTGATGTGCGCTCGACTGCGGAAACCGGTTTTGGTCTACGACGAGGTGGTGGTCGCCGTTTTTACCACGGACGTGCGAAAGCCGTGGCTCTCGCCGCGCACCGCAACGTTCGTAGTTTCAATAAAGTAACATGTTATTTGTCAACAACAAATTAACGGGTAAAATAAATCGTAATAATTAAAAAGACAATACATTAGCAATATATTAGATCTTGGTTTATTTTTGAAGATTAATATATAATTTCAGACGTTTTTAATCTTAGTTAAGATTTTCAGTGAAATCTGTGCAAAAAAATAAGAACAATTGCAATACAATAACTTTAGAATTAAATTGAATGTTTTGCTAATTGAAATACACAGATAGGCCACAATTCTCCATGATGAATGGTCAAAAGTTAAAATTGATTATGTTAAGAACAAAAAAACAGCCGTAATATAATTCGAAATGGTAAAATAGACCTTCCAGCTAAGAAACCAAGGTTGAGGTGGCTTAAATAAAATCTAATTGAATCCAATACGGAGATCAGAAGAACGTTTTGATCTTTATTTTTTTAGATCATCATCAGCCTCACTGGACGGAACAAAAAAATACAAAAAAATTTTATTTAAGCCACCTCAACCTTGGTTTCTTAGCTGGAAGGTCTATTTTACCATTTTGATTATGTTAATATATTAGGCTCGTATTGCCTTTTTAATTATTTGAATTTTCAACGAGAATACTATTTAACATAAATTAAAATCGTGTTAAATATATTAAATTTGACGTATCGAGCGTTTTTCGGAGACAAAGATTTCACTGTTGTTTACAGTCTCGTCGTCGACATCGCGATACTGGTATGCTACATAGGGATCGGTTCGGTCTACGTCGTGTTTATTGCCGGCGTGATCCAAGAGTGTCTAGACAGCAACAAGCTCATCAGTCAGAGCTATTACGCCCTTATAATATTTCCCCTTCTTTTCCTAATGAACATGGCAAAAAATCTGGCGGAAATCGCGCCGATTTCCATCGCCGGGAACATCTTTCTCGTCGCCGCCGCAATCATCGGGATTGTTTACGCGCTGAAGGACGGAATCGGCGACGATTGGTTCGTGTTCGGACCGAGCGTAGGTCTGTACCCGAAATTCTTCGGGATGGTTTTCTTCAGCATGTGCTCGCCGGGATTGGTGAGTCTCAATTTGCAACGATTGAAAAAATCCTTGTTTTAGCGGTGAAATTAATTTCGTAACGCGGTGTTCACCCCCCGCGTAAACGGGGTTCAAATTTTTGAAAAGAACAATCGTGCGTCTCTTAGTAAACAACAATTCTCGATATTTGCGCTCCTTACAGATACTGGCGATAGAACATAGTATGAAAAAACCGTGGAATTACGTCAGACTGTCCGGAGTGTTGAACTGGGGCATGGCGTTTTTGGTTTTGATACACATCGTCGTCGGAGCTGTCGGTTACTTGAAGTGGGGACCCGACGCGCTCGGCAATTTTATTCGCAATCACGAGAAACTCGATGGGTATGACACGATCTCGTTACGTCTCACAATTAAAGATTTTTTGTTTTTTGTTTTTAATTTCGTTCTGCGAATTCGCAGTCCGACTGTCACGGCCTTGGTGCTTCAATCGTCAGCGATATTCTTCACATACGGACTGCAGTGTTACATGCCCATTACGATACTCAAGCACAGTTACGTTCTACCGGGCATCGAGAGCGGCACTTACAGAGGAACGCCGTTGCTGTGGGATCTGATTATTCGCTTCGGCGTCACCCTCGTCACGTGTAAACGACAATTTCTCTCTCTTTAAACTCTCTTCCCTCTCTTCTGCACGTGCGGGCGTTTCGCTTTCTCCGTATTTTCAAGGTAAACTCAGTCCAAGTTCGACGAACCGCGATAGATTGAAACCTCCTTTGTCCCGGTGCGACCAACTTCGCGAAATCGATCAATCCGTCCGATTACAGTCTCTCGGAGCCAGATATTACCAAAGTTCGCAGCATCCACTTTCGTGGAATGTGATATAGACGTTCAGTTTTGCGGGGTGGGTGAGGGGGAGTCTCGTTTGATCGAGACTTCTCCCGCGTTTGCTGTAATGATACGCGCCTTACACTTTGCCCTAATTATACTCTCTTTCCGATCGATACATTTCCAACGTATCGTCGCTCCGTAAATAGACGTTTTCCGGAATAAAAAACGAGAGAGACCTCGGCGTTGTCTCTTCAGAGAAAAAAAAATTTCTTCTAGGCATTCTAGCGGCGGTGATTCCGAAACTCGATCTGTTCACCGGTCTGGTCGGCGCCGTGTGCATATCCACTTTGGCCACGTTAATACCGACCACTTTGTACATTCTCGTTCATCACGAAGACTTCGGCAAGTACAAGTGGAGACTGATTCTGGGCGTCTTCATGTTTGTCGTCGCCTTTCTCGCGACCGTAGGCGCCATTGTGATCGATGTAATCTTAATCGTCGAGTACTTTATATACGGGTATGTGAAACAAGTCTCTCGCCAATTGCAACATTGATATTTTCGTACTTGAGAGTTTTCTCAAGCGTAACGCGACAGAAAGTACAAATTTTAAGGAAATTTGTTATTTGTGTGAGAAATGTGACGCGCTTTTTTCCGGACTTCTTCTGGCTAGTAAACGAACACAGCCGAAATAGATTTACATCTTCTTCGGCACAGGAACGAGAACAACGGAGATGACGATCTCTTTATTTTTTCAGGAACTAAAGCCGACGAACGACGGCGCGGTGTGTGTTTATCTTAATCTAGTCTCTGTTCGTAGTAGCCCGATGAAAATATCGCGTGCGGTCGCGTTTACCACTTTTGTCCTCGGTTTTAACGCCGCTCCGCCGTTTACGCGCGATTCAGCCTAATCGCAACGGCAGCTGCGACGACGACGACGGCGACGGCGGCGGCGGCGGTGGCGGCGGCGGCGGCGGTTGGAAAAACCGCGAAAAAGGCGTGAAGCTCGTGAGGGACAAAAAGCGAGGAGAGAGCGTGAAAAAAGGAAAGAGACGAGAGGGAATTCACGGCGCGCGGAGAGGAGAGAAGCGCGCGCGCGCGAGCGACGTATAATCGCGTCAGATCACCGAGGCGTCAATGGCTGCTGCTGGGCTTATCACGCACACACGTGCGGAGGACACGACGATAAAGAGAGACGGAGAGGGGCGCACGTGGAAACTGACAGACACACATGTATTGACACGGCGAACGCACGGCCGTGTGGGTGCGCGCGAAGACCAAGAGGACGACGTTCGAGCGCAAACGAGAACGAAAGAGAGAAAGAGAGCGAGCAAAAGAGAGAGAGAGAGAGAGAGAGACATGACGCGGAGACGTTTTCTTTCTCTTTCTACCCGCGGCAAAAGGAACCAAAGCAGAGGCGGTGGCGGCGGCGGCGGCGACGACGAGAAGAGAGAGTCTCTGTACGGCGGGAAGGGTGCTTTCATCACATACACAGAGAGGACACAACCCCTTTTAGTGGCTACCGTCGTCTACCCCGTCGCCCTGTCACGTCCTAACCCGCCGTCCGTATTTCTCGCCGTTCTCTCTCTCTCTTTGGTGATCGTCGCCTGTCTTTCTCTCTCGGATTCGCCCTTACAGACTGCCTCTGCTTGGCCGCTCATCCGTTTGCCAGTTCAAGGTGGCTGCGTTCATTACCGGAGGATACACCGGGTGTAGTGTGGGACTCCATCGTCGTCGGCTACCCCTCGTCGGTTAGCCCCTTTCCCCTCCCCCTCTTCGAGAAAACGTCCCGTTTAATAATTATATCGATGAGTCGCACCAAGGACGCGCCGCAACGAATCGCGAAGAGAGCGTCAAATGCGAACGCAAAATTTAAAAAGATCACGTTTTTTCTCGATATATGTAACATGTTTAAAACTTCATTCACTCATGTACGTCCTTAAGTATAGTATCGAGAAAAGTTAATTAAAACATTTACTCATAAATAGATTCGAAACTGTCGTGTAAAATAAACGACCTTTTTAAAGAGCGAACTTAGTTACGTTGGAAGTAACAGATTTTTTATTTATCACAACTAACAAATAATTAGTGTGTAAATTTTATTTTGTAGTATCTTTAAAAAAAAATGTATACTTTTATCTTTTAATCTAGAAACCTACATTCTGCTTATCCGAACTGTTACACCTGTTGGAAACACACGCAAAGACAAAGATCGCGAGAGATTGGACGAGCCACGTGCGCGATTCTTTTATATAAGCGAGGAAGCGATCGGCGAACCGAGAGATTGTCACCGGGATTTTTTTTCCTAATTGGAACGAAAGGAAGTTCGTTTCCCCGCGCGAAATTGCGAAGATTAAACCGACCGCACGAGCGCACGTGCACTTAAACAGCCGCTAATTGCTAAACCGAGAAACACGGCTCTGCCACATTGATCTCATTCGCTCTTTTCTCTGCCGGGAGAGACGAATAATTATTATATCAAAAGAAAAAAAGCGCAACAAGACACACGTAGCAACACGACAGAAATTGTTTTATTTTAATTTTTTTTACAAAAACAAGAATGCAACAGAACGTAAAGATCATTAAGAAATATCTTCCCTGTGTATTGGAGCAAAATGAGATTTTACTGACGGCGCAAAAAGACAAAATTACACGTGGATGGAAAAATATACGTGAAATTTTTTTTTATTTTTCATATCGACCACAATTATCAGTACGAGTTTCGTGGTACTTGCATTATATGCAACGTATAGTTTAGTCTCGTGTTTCCGCGAAGAGACAGAAACGCGCGCGCGCGTTTGACGAACATTCTGCAACGGAGTCGCGACGTCAAGTTCGCGAGATTCCATGAACATGACGATTGAAAGGAGAAGCCGCGTAGGAAGTGAAACGGTCGAAGGAGACGGATGGTAAGACAGGATAAGTAGATATTAACCGAGTTCATGGCAGCGAGGAAGGGATACTGCGTAGCAACCAGAAGGGGTTTGCTCGCGGCTTTCCTTCCGCCAAGATTCGCCACCCCCGTCTTTCTCTCCCTCTCTCATATATGCCGAAGGCGGAAGTGGAGAGGAGAGAGAGAGCCACCGAGAACGTCTTAGCTCGGCGTCGCTTCTCGCTGTTCGAAAACCGGGGAACCGGGCTTCCCTTATCTCGAGTCTGCAAGACTGCCTCCGGTAATACCGCGCGCCGTTGGAAACCCTTACGAGCAACGAGAACCCCGTGAAATATCGCTAAACGGCTTGGTACCCCTTTCCTCTTCCACTCCGATCATCCACTCCCGGTCTTTTCGAACACTTCGCTCCGTCGACGACCGTCCCTCCCGCATCGGTTACACCCTCACCCTCACCCGTGGATATCCACTCCACGCCGGGTGGAGATAACGCATATTGCCGCCAATGACAATGGATGTCACGCGCTCCGTCAGTCGCCGATGTTAGCTTTCCGCCGTTTATAATGGCAAGCGAATATATATTTTAGGTTACAACGCTCTTATATTTTATAAATATCGGAAATTTCATATCTTTTGTTGTAACAAATTTCCTTATTTTGACGTTTTACGTAATATATCGCGATAATCTTTTGACTTTCTCAGCCTGTCTTCGAACGCGTTATTTTGTAATAGTTCGTGATTCACGGACTTCAGGATCGTCGGCTACAAGTTTAGATTTAAGCGGCGTCGGGCATCTTTGCGCGCGGGACGCGAAAGACGGGCAACAAGAAAACGGCGCTGCCGAGGAAACGAACGAGCGCGCTTCATTATACGCGACGCCGACACGCTTCGTTTGTCTCCGGAAGTTGTGCTTCTGGAGGGACGACGTCGACCGAGGGGAAGGGGGGGGGAGATGCTGCCGAGGAGACGGAGGGATGAGATGCGAGGAAGAGGCAGAACACACAGAAGGGAGAGTGAGATGTAAATGGAGAAGTCGGGAGAAGGTGGAGGAAAGAGGGTGAGGAGGAGAGAGAGAGGACGAGCTTGAATTAATACAATCACGCGGGGGATGCCTCACCACTCGCAGTCCGTGTGGCAAGAGGGTGAGAAGCAACGAGAGATAACCACCCCTTTGCTTGTCATCGAAATTATACGCTGCCAACACTCGACCTCGTTTACCATGTCGACTTTCTCTCTTCTCTCCTACGTCTTCCAGGCCGGGTCTTCTTCGGCTCCTGTTCCTTCTTCTCGTTATTTACACTGCAAATCCATGTGTGTTACTTTAACACATTTTTTCTGTGTAATTTTAAGATTACACGCTTATCCGTGTTATTTAAACACACATAAGTGTGTAATATGATAATTTTATGCAGATCGCATGTGTGTTAAAATGCGTAAACATCTAAAATGTGTAATAAAATAAAACATAGTTTTAAACACAAGTTTTAGACATGTTAAAATAATACATATTTCTCGTTTTACACGTTTGAACAGATAAACGTTTCAAAATTAAAACACTTCAAAAAATACACATCAAAATTGTCGTTGTCTCTGCGTAGAAAGTTGGGCGCGCATCAATCTTTCTTTCTCGCTCCTTCCAGAGTACAGAGATATGTTAGGACAAGTACAGCGCGGCGGAAAAAAGTGTGCTGACGTGCAATATATGTTTAATGTGATTAGTGAAAATTTAATATATTTTTTATTTAATATGAAGAAGAAAGTGTACTGTTTAATCGGTGAACGTTGTAAACGCATTACGTTTTCATCTAAAAAATATATCTCTGACCCTCAAATTGTACGTGCAACTTTAATAGAAGCCAGCAATAACGATGTAGTGTTACAATCAATGATCAACAACAAAGAAATCATTTTACAAAAGTTTGATGCCGATCGAAATAATAAATTATGTGATATTGAAGAAGATGATGAAATTGAAGACAAAAATGAGGTTACTTTTTTTGTATGAAAAACATAGACGTATAATATATAGACTGCGCGTTCCCTACCTTTGCCATGTTAAGAAAATGTCTTCAACGTTGAGAGAGAGACAGCTGGTGTTGAATAATAGCCTCATCTTTGTCTAGCGAAGTGGTAGGGTAAATGATAGAGAAAGAGTTACTATTCAAAGTATGTTGTCTCTCTCAACGTTGAAGACATCTTTTCAGCCAAACGCGCAGTCTATATATTATACGTCTATGATGAAAAACCATCAAGCCTCATACTCGAATCATCACCATCTACTGGTTTTATTTCTGATGTTTCTCAAGAGAGACAAATCAATGACACGTATAACATGAACGTCAAAATATTACATACTGAACCAGGTGATAAAAGTTTGGAAGCTCGACGTTTTCTTAGGAGAACAAAATAATAATGTTTTAATATTTTTAAAGAATACTGCACTATGACAAACTTTATTATACCATAGTCATCTAAGTTTTTCATATTGCAGCTTCTTTGAACATAAATATTATTATTCTGTTCTCCTATGAAAACGTAGAGCTTCCAAACTTTTATACGATAATATGTCGTTTATTACACGCAACAAATTATATATTTAAAACGTGTTAATTTAGTGAGTTAAATCAACACATATTAAGCGTGTTCCAATTTTAAACACTAAGAAACGTATTAAAAATGACTTCAATAAAAACACACGTCAAGTGTGTTAAATTAACACACTTGGATTTGCAGTGTACATACGCCAGATTTTTGGCATCCGGAGACTGATCGTACGTAAAGACACACCGAGTTGAATTTCTCGAACAAGAGGCTCACATTAAGTGCGTCAATAGATTTTTTTTTTTTTACAAAGTTGTGTCTATATTTGTGACGTGATGTAATTAATTTTTTATTTATTTCGAAATTTATATAAGAATGAGATCTTGTAAAACTTTAAAACAGTTTGTGATCGAGATTCCGTTGGTCGACAAAAACTCCAATAGAACAATCTCGTTTATTTCAAGTATGTTAGTTAGATGTTTCGTGTTCTCAATT